TCGGCAAATTCTCAAAAAATATTTACTGACCATTCTGAAAAAGTTTTAAATTAATTTATGCCTTCTTATAAACTATGTGTCCCTTGCTACAAAAAGAAGCAGCCAAGAAAGATTACTGCATTATTTAAAGATGTGTAGATTTGTAGAAAATGCGTAAACATTTTGGTCAATAGGAACATTATCTAATATAGTTTATTAAGTCTTATTGTGGGACAGTAGATTATATTCTTCTGTTTTGTTTCCATTCATCTAGCAATCAGTTTCTTGTTATGAAACGTTTTATAATTCTTCTTTTATTTTTAGTCATTCATGAATATCTTACGATATATGCACATTCTAACCCGTTAAACTTACGTCGGTAATTTTATGTCATATTTAGACATTTTAGACTATTTTCCAACTTTCTTTGTTTCCTTTTTTCTTTCTTTAAGGTAAAAATTAACGACACTGGACTTAACCCAGCGTTTTTTACTCATTCTTTTTTTATGTGTATATTTCGTTCTCTGGCTATATTATCAGTTTGTTCGCAATATTTTACGTTAACTTTAAAATATTCTATTTCATTTTGCTTCTAAATCTGAAGGTGTGTTGAATACCGCATGAAGATATGTCCATTTCTTTCAATATTCTTTATTTGGTAACTTTTATATATTATTTTAAATTATTTTTTCTTTAATTGTTCGCTTATCCAATAACATCTTCAATTTTAATGCCATCTCTCAATTACCATCTTCATATACACAGCATACTGATATTTTAATCTAACAATCTCATCCTGATCAATACTAATAGATTGATAGTAAAAGTTAGGATTAATCAATTTTCTGTGAATTGGTTTTGATAAAAAATTTTCCCAGTTGATATGCAAGATATGACAACACATTTGTTAGGTCATTGTTATTTTGTGTAACGTTCTTTAATTTTATTTAAGATTCGACAGATTTGGTTGAACCCGGCTAATAGCTAGTGAATAAAAATAGTCCATCTAGACCTTTTCTTGAGAAAATGAAGGATAATAATACACATTAAGAATACCTTTAGTAGATATTTAAGGGAAAAATGATAATAATGTTGTAAGATTTACCTGCACAATGATTTATTTGGCCACACGATCGCCATTTCGACGGATAACTTCAAAAACCCTATTAGTCATGGAAACTGTAATTTATATATATATATATATATATATATATATATATATATATATATATATATATATATATAGTAGCACGTTGGACTTTTTGCTTCTACAGCTTTGATGATCGCCCATGTGTTTCTATGTAAATTGAAGGCATAAACATCTTATCTAATGATGGACCAACGATTTTCGATAGGGTTGCGATCCGGAAAGTCAGGTGATCACAATATCAACCTTTCACCTTTTAGGCAGTAAGAGCATAGGAATGCTTGGGTGAAACTTGTTAATTATTTATTCTTTAACACATCCAGTCGTAATATGTTTCTATGCGTCATATGAATTTTTAATATATTGTAACGTTTGAATAATTTTGTTTCTCAATTATGATTTAGGTGAATAACTTCTGTCTTCAGTTACTTTACTATATATATATATATATATATATATATATATATATATATATGGGACATTAAATAATTCGGTGAACAATTGAAGAACAGCTGTGAGTATAATGTTTTCACATAAGCAGTTTCTTTTTGTGTTGATTGTACCCGTTTTCTACTTAAATGCAATTAATACTGTTTAATTAAAGAACAGAACATTTTCTTGAATAGGATTTATCTATTGAAATAACGTATGAACAGAAAATATAATAAATAATTCTCGAACGTATTCCATTTCATAATATGTTGGTAATGTTTATGTTAATGTTATCGTGAGCGATATGATTGTTCGAGAAAGATTGTCGAAGAAATTTTATAAATAGTACTTTTGCCATTGATAACTAGACGCTTCTCTGTAGCTGAGTGATATAGCACGTCAGATCAATTGACGGTTCTGTGTAGGCCACAGGTTCAATTCCTGTTAGAGAACGCATAATTTCTATGACATTTCCCGAACATTCATGTCGGTAAATATAGTTAATATTGTTTATTTAAAAATCAGAGAATTTACTTAAATAAATTGTATATATTAAAATAACGAATGAACAGAAAAATATATAAATTTTATATACAACCATCAAATACTAACGGAAGATCTCTCAATAATACACTGCGTGCCAAATTATTATCGAGTAAACTTTTTTTTCTAATATTTCAAAAACCGTTCAATCAATTCACACACAAGTTTCACACAATGTTGGCAACCCTGAGCTGCGCAATCATTGAAATCTGCGCAATGTAAACAAACTGGCGCCATATTTGTTATCAGCACGGTGATTTGAGCGTGTCAAATTATTATAAAGATTTAGTAAAATTTCCAGAATTGACCAAACAAAACATTTATTAATGTTGATCGTGAATGTTTAAGATCAAAAGAAACTAATAAATAAGATAATCAAACAAATAATAACAGATACAAACAAAGGCACAGTTGTAAACAAATTAATAGGGAATGTACTTTCCCTGTTTTGAAATTACTTGGAAAAGTCGACGATCCATAGAATTTGTTTATTGTAGGATGTCATCTGCTGCAATGCCGCGAGATATGTCAAGAATTGCTTCCCACAACTTAGCGTTGCTCCTGAATTCTCGTCCGTTGGCGTAAAGTCTTCGATTCATGATGCTCCAAAGGTTTTCGATTGGGTTCAAACCCGGAGAATTTGCTGGCCACTTCATTTTTCGAGGTCCATCGAAGCCTAACTGTTTCAAATATTCAGTAGTCTTGTGAGCAGCGTGTGGGGGAGCATTATCACGCATAAAAACAATGGCCCTTCTGAAGGCAACTCTTAGGCTTTTCATCCACTGTTCAAGATACTCCTGCATAAACGCTGTGTATGCATCAGCAGTCATTTTGACGCCATCTGGTACTCTCCATGGGCTCAGTAATGTGATTCCAATAATACCACCCCAGATCATTATGCCTCCACCGCCTTGTTGGCGTCTCAAACACTGATGGCGATTTTGTCCGTTCATTACCCAGCCTTTGCACCATATATCTGGCCCATCAAGTGTTGCTCAAGTTTCGTCTGTGAAGAAAACTTTAGAGAAGTCAATCTTCATATTGTCCTCGGCCCATTTCAATCGATTTTGAATGTGATTTCTCGTCAAAGGAGGCTTTGATACAGGTTTGACCGTTGTTGCTATTTCACTCAGATACCGACACCGAGTAATTTTAGACACAGTAGGATCCCCAATACGACTGAAAAGCTCTTGACTAGTAAGTCCAGGGTTCTTCGTGGCCTCTTGTTTAAGTCGTGACATGAGACGACGTGAAATAACCATTGGCTTGCCTTTATTTGCCCTTTTGCGTACGTGTGTAGGGACGGCGGTAAATTTTTCACTGTTTGATGACACTTCCCTATCATTTTAAAAATTTCTAGGGTAGATTTAACTTTTGAGTGTTCTGAGGGGATAGTTTTCTTTTCAGCATCACTTAAACTGCTTTTATGGCCCATCTTTTCACTAAATTCTTATACTTTTCTAATAATTTGGCACGGTCAAATCACCGTGCTGATAACAAATAGGCGCTAGTCTGTTTACATTGCGCATATCAGTACGAAGATTTCAGTGATTGCCCAGCTCAGTGTTGCCAAGATTGTGTGAAAATTTTGTGTGAATTGATAGGACGGTTTTTGAAATATTAGAAAAAAGTTATCTCAATAATAATTTGGCACGGAGTGTAGTTTATTTTTAATGTTTAATATTTTCAAAAATCTTAGGGAAAATAATTTTTTCATTCAATCTTTAAAAAATAAGCTTCATTGTTTTTGGTTTCTTACAAAATAACTAAATTTAGAAAAATACCAAAAACTAATACCATGCTAGAGGGTGGCGTGTGGGTAGGATCCCCATATTTTTATCCAAAAACACTCTTTATTTTTCGAATTAAATAATAAAATAATCATTCTGTTTATGTTGTTTTCAAACAAATCAAATCGATTTATCTAAGTCCGTTAACATTTTTCAAATTATTATTGAGACTGTAAATAAACTTAAATTCATATATATTTAATCATATATAATTTCATCAAAAACTATTGCGAGCTATACTTCATCAAAAAATAATTATTTACTATTATTTTGTAGGGGAATTTCGATTTTTCAAGTAGATAAAGATTACATTAATGATTGTTTCATTTTTAAAGAAATTAAAAGAAGCAAACATTTCAGCGTAAATGAATTTTATTACTAAATACTTTAAAAGAGATTAAAAGTAAGATACATTTAGAATTTAGTTTTGAAAATCGATTTTGTTTAAATTTCTAGTTATATTTGTATTTGAAAAAAATATTTAAATAAAATTTATATGAGAAAGAGATGAGTTATGTTCACTATTCGATTTGATTAATATATATTTTCAGATTTAAAAATATTTTATTTAAATTTATTTTCGAAAAAGTAAGGCTCACTAGAGTCTTTGCTTTAATAAAACCTAATTTAAAATTATTTACTTTGTATGTTAGTTACAAACCAAGAAAAAAAAAAACAATGGAGTTTATTTTTTAAATATTGAAAATAAAATGTGCATAAAAACGCCGAAAATAATTAATATGTCAATAACAGACAGACACCCATCGACAGACAATTGCCATTTATATATGTATAAAAAATAATATCCCTAAAACATAAATACAAAAAATACGTGTATTTAAAGTAAATCTGTTATTAAATATAAGTAATTAAAAAATGTCAATATTAAAAATATCGAAAAATATATTTGTGAAATATGAGATCCTATTAAAGCTACAAAAGATTATTCCAGTTTGTTTTTATTTTTATTTCTGCGAATTTCGAATGGATTCTAAAGCAATTTTTACGCATTTTTCATTTTAAATTATCTTCGTAAATACAAAACATACGATAATAATTTTTTTAACAAAGGGTGTGTTTGGTGATACTGAGTCTGTAAATACACACACACTGCTCTGTTTTGCTGGCATCTGAGTCGCGAAATATCGTTTTTCACAGGGCGGTTAGATGCTATGTTGGCTCTCATGCGAAGGCGCATCTTCGAACGAACTAAGACATGGTCGGAGCCATGTTCATTGCCTGTTTTGGTTCCCCGAATGCGCGAGAGACCAGGACACTCGAGGCCCACCGTGACCTGACGAGGATATGATTGATTTGGTTCCGAGTGACACCGTCATTCGAGTACCAAGTCACCAGGTGCCGCCGATGGTGCTGGAATCGAGTACTTGACACAGTAACCTGGTTTGCAGCAGCAATGTCGATCAGCCGCTCTCCGTCGAGCAGCGGTCACCGATGGGGAATGGTCCGACAATATGTCTTTTATTGGCATCGCCGGTACCAGTTCGCGAATTGAAATCGCCCGCAATAACCACAAAGTCTCTATGAGAAATGCCGCCCATAACATCCTGGAGGTTGTCGTAGGAGGCGTCGTTGGTGACTTCATCAGCAT